CGCGAGCCCCTGAAAACTATTCCGGAACCCCCGGCCAGCTCTGCACCTTCCGACCCCCCTGCACAGCCAACGCCTGACACCAGCACCGCAGGCTGCTCCTGCGGCCTGCTGTTGCTCAGCCTTCCCCCGCACCCGCCGCTTTTTCTGACCCTCGCAGCACCTATCCCCCAGCACCGCCACCGCAGGCCAAGAGCTCAGTGCCTGTGAAAGCAATGCCTGCATACCCGCCTGGAGCATTCTACTTGACACCAGTGGGAGACCAGTTTTTCGCAGCCCCACATCCTGCACCATCCGCCGGCCCCGCTACTCAGTCTTGGGCCGATATGTCGGATCCCGCACAACAGCAACCGCTTGACTTTGTCAACCCTGCACCGCCACCAGTGCCGGTTTGGCCCAAGCAGTTTACGCAGCAAGAAAAACGCTGCGCCGATCCCGCACCTGCTCCCCCCGCCCCGCATGCTCAGCCCCGCCCCGCCACGGCCAAGGAGCGGCGCGAAAGCCGCCCCCCGCCCCGCAACGAGGACTTCATCGCCGCCGCTGATGTCCCTGCACAGGATGATCTCGCACATGCCCCGCAAATCGGCTCTTGGTGCCAGGCATCGCACCGCACTCCGGCGGAAGTCCGCTGGAGTCGCCAGGCCCGACCGTGGTATCGAGATCGCCGCGGTCGGGTCTGCTGCGCAATTCAATGCGACTCCTCGCACAGCTCCGGCGATTGCTTGCCATGTGGTAAGCCATTCCGCCTTGCACAGCCTCTGGCAACAGAGATGCATAATAAGCACCGCTGCTCGATTTGCAAGAGCAAAGAAGAGAGGGAACAGCAGTGAGCTCCCCTCCCGCACCCGCGCAGCACCGCACTGCAAAAAGTACGGCCGCAGCCCGTTCAGCCTGTTTCCTGCGCCTTTGCTGCCTTAGGGTTCTTCCTACTGCTTTCTGTGCTTGCTCAGGTCCATCTTCATGCTGATCCAGGCACGTTCTTGCAGCGCCTTTGCTCAGCACAGTTTTCTGGACGCTCGCTATGCTCCCGCTTTTCTGGTTTGTCAGGATTTGCCTCGGCATCCAGTGCCCCGCTTTTCTGCTCGTGCACGCCGCTTCTGTCAGCCCGCATTTCTTTGGTTGCCTTTTCTTTGGTGGCCTGCATGCAGGTTGCATCAGCCGGCTTCTTGCTCAAGGCAGGTCCTGCTCGTATCTTGCTCGGGACCTCTTTGTCCTTTGGTCTGCCTCAGCCCCGCTTGCACCTATGCGCCAGCGATGGAAACGAAATTAAATTCGGCTCCCTCGAGGACCCTGCACCTTGCACTGCATCACCGCCTTCAGCGATTCAAAGCCAGCCCAGCATTGCAATAACCCCGCACGCCTCGGGGTCTGACGATGAACCGTCGCACCTGCCTGTGTTCTTAGGTTTCTTTGAGGTTGGTGAATCAGCCTCAGAGGACGAATTTAGCTCGCCAGGCACCCCTGCCTCGCCCCAGGTCCTGCCGCTCACCAGCAAAGCCCCACAGCGACCTGCAATCGCCATACGGGTGGACTTTACAGGTGACTTGCCTAGACTGCCGCGCAGCATCACCCAAGGCCTTTCGCGCCCGCCCCGTCGCGTGGTCAAGTACCCAGCCCCCGCCTTGGGTTGCCCTAGTCCTAATAAGCCTTTCCCTAAGTCAGGTTCTGCACCGCCTCTTCCCCGTGGGGGCCGCCCCCCGCCGCCGGCCCGAGCCATGCCACGCAGCCTCAACCTTCATAAGACCCAACCGGATGTCCCGGCGCACAGCTCACCCTATGGCTCCATCGCAACTGCGCCTTCGCCTCCCCCTGTGTTCGTTTGTAACTTAGTGCACGTAGTCCCAAGTAGAGTGTGTAGAGTAATCACGAGAACACATGAAACATGTGTGTGAACCGCGACACGGAGGCTTAAGCAAGTCAGCCCGCGAAGTGAGAAAAGTGTGTTTGCGAGTAGAGTGGGAAGGAAGGCTTGAGAAGCCTTTAGTTTCAACATGGTAGCGGAGCTCCCTGATTCAGACCTCTTCGGAGCGATGAAGCTATCACAGGAACAACAGGTAGCTGTCGCCATGGTTTCCTTGGCTTTGGCTTTTTCGCTGATGTGTCTGGCGAGAAGCTTTGTGAAAGAACTTGTGAGAAAGGAGACGGTGGAGCGCGTAGCTCCAGCTGAGGAAGAAGTGCCAGAACTCTGGTACTCGCCTTACGGAGAGAAGACCCACACCTCAGGAAGATGTCATGGCCTCAGGAATGCAACCAGCGTACACCGAGTACTACCATGCAAGTACTGCTGTCCCGGCGGACTCCGATCCCGGGAACAACGCACCTTCGAGTACAAGAGAACCTTTCTGGAAGCAGCAGGAAAGTACCTTTGGCTAAAAGTCTTCATGGTTGTGGTTCTCATGGGCATGTCATGGTTCATGGTGTTTGAAGTGAACGAGACCTACGGCTACCCGTTGGCCACGAACCGCATGCTGAACTACAGGAACAAGGTCCTCAGCCTCGACAACAAGAACCCCAAGAAGAAGCATGTGATAAAGGAGATTACCCCAGCGGATGTTGTACCTGCCGGGAAGAGCCAAGAAGGTGATCACACAGAGCTTTTCACGTTGTGGTCGCATTTACATGAGCCCAATACCAAACCGAGAACGAGAACGAGATCAACGTCACGAGCTACCTCAAGAAGACGAACGTGTACTCCGAGTTCTACAAGAACAGAAGTAAAGGCACAAAGTTGCAACTACAGTTTTCATGAAGGTGATGTCGCGGAGTATAACAAGAACCTAAAGAACGAAGAAGTGCCCCACGTGAACTACTACAAGAACCTTGTGTTTGAGTTGGTTTTGGAGTTTCAAGAGTACCTTGCGAAAGCAGGAAGAAGCCTTGAGCCCGTCGTGAGCTACGTCGTGCGCACGTGTCACCCAGTACTACTTCTACTTGGGACCCCGCTTGGTATGGTCACTTGGATCTACCTCTATTTTTGGGTCAGAGTTAAGCAAACAAAAAGAGAACAGTTGAAGAAGAAAGTTTCGAGAAGGAAGTTGCACAGGTCAGTTTGCAGCGTTCTTTTCAAGAAGCGAGTCTGGTTGCATGTTGTGTTGCTTTACAGTCACATGCAGAGTGCAGTTGCGATGGAGGAAGCCTTGCAAAGGCTCACGGACCTTACTGCCCAAAACACACAACAGATACAAGCACTTGCCCAAGCAATGAACAGTCAGCAAGCGCAGGCAGGTACCGCTTCACAACAACTACAGGAACTCGCGCAGTCAGTTTCACAACAGCAGAGAGCAATTACAGAAGCAACCCAAGCAACCAACACAGCACTGTCACAACAAGCAGAGCTTACTGCAAACGCGGTTGCAGCAACAGGAAAGCTTACAGCAGACGCAGTTACAGCACTGTCGCAGCACGCAGAGTCAAGAAGGCCAGGAGAGATCGACCTCCACAAGATGATCAAATCTCCAGAAGTCTGTGGCCCTACTACGTACAAGGAAGAGCGTGATGGTTTTCTAGAGTTTCGGTTGAAGCTGAGAAGTTGGATAGGCGCTCTCAACAACGACATCCTTGAGAAGATCAACGCAGTCGAGATGGATAGAAGAGAAGCATCATGGGAATGGAACAGACTTAACCCAGGTGAACAAGCACTTTCAAGAAAGCTACATTCCATCCTCACCAGCTATACACGTGGCCGTCCTCTACGAACTCTAAAGCAAGTACCCAACGAGAACGGTTTCGAAGCATGGAGGTTGTTGGTGGAAGAACATCAGCCTCACAACCGTGCACGTTCTCTACAACTACTTAACGGAGTTCTTCACTACAGGTTCGACAAGCAAAGGTCAACACAAGAAAATATCCTGAAGTTTGAGGAGTTGATTGAAGAGTACGAGAGAGCGAGTGGAGACCTTGTTGCGGACGACATGAAGATTTCCATCATACTTGGAGGAACCGAAGGGAACACGAGACAGCACCTTCTACTCAACCAGAAGGAGACCACAAAGTATGGAACACTACGACAGTACCTCCTCTCCTACGAGCAAGCAGCAAGGTGGACTACCACAGACCTCATCAACTCCGGAAAGGACCACCAAGGACAAGCAGACATGGATGTTTCACGAGTTGAATGGTGGAAAGGAAAAGGAAAAGACAAAGGAAAAGACAAAGGAAAAGGAAAGAAAGGAAAAGGATTCGGCAAGTACAAAGGCAAAGGCTTCGGCAAAGGAAAAGGAAAAGGAGAAAGCCAGTACTACTACAAAGGCCGAGGAAAAGGAAAAGGACGAGGAAAAGGAAAAGGAAAAGGCAGAGGCCGAGGATATGGCAAAGGCGGGGGAAAAGGCTACAGCAGCAAAGGAAAAGGTAAAGGCTACAACAACCCAGGAATTGGTGTTTGCCACTACTGCCAAAAGCCTGGACACTACGAAGCCAATTGCAGACTCAAGCAGAGAGACATGCAGCAGAACGTCAGGAACGCACAGGAGGAAGACGAACAAAGCGTCAGGACACAGCCTACCACAGTTCCAAGCAGTAGCGCTTCGGCAGCCACAACAACAAGAACTACAAGCGCGAAGTCTACAGCTAAGCCAACAGTTCGGCAGATCGCGATGTACCACATGGACAACGATCCCGTCACGTACCCTGAAGTTTTTGAACTTGACGAAGACGAAGAAGAGCTCGAGATCGAGTACTTTGGAAGAGTCTTGAGAGTGACGGAAGCTGAAGAGTTTGTTTTGTCAGAAGGAGAAGAGAGCGAAGAAGAGCAAGAAGATCCTCTACTAAACTGGTACCTTGGACGTGAAGTACTACCACCACAAGAAGTTCTCTCAGTACGCGTTGTAGAGGAAGAGTTTTTCCAGGAAAGTGATCTTCACCAAAGAATCGAAGTTATCCTGGATTCTGGCGCAGATGTTTCTCTTGTGCCCTCTTGGCTAGGAAAAGAAGGAACCCCTTTGAAGGTTCGCCCTTCGTCCATTCAGGACGCACAAGGAAAGGCAATAAAGACAGAAGGCAGAAGGATGCTGAACTTAACGTTCTTTGATGACGACGGAAGCTTTTGTCGCATCCAGGAAGCCTTCACCGTTGCCTCGGTGATCAACCCGCTGATGGCCATAGGCAAGCTGTTTCGAGAAGGCTGGGAGTTGCGAGTGAACGAAGAAGAAAGTATGTGTCTTACAGACGGAAGCTCAAGAATACCAGTGCATCTCCACAAGAACAGCTTGGCAGCCTACGCCTACGTACAAACTCCTTCAAGAAGCAGAAGTTACAGCAGCAACAACTACAAGATGGTTCGGACAGTTGTTCAGCTCAACAAGCACGTTCAGGAAGCAGTGAACAGAGAAGAACCTGGTTGGCACAACACAGACAGCATGGTGATCGTGAAGTACGCCACTCAAAGCAGCTACGAGAACCCATCTCTCATGTATAGCCCTACGCACTTTCCGTACAGAAGCACTTTGGTGAAAGAAGAGAGAGGATGGAGAGCAGTTGAAGTTTCAAAGAAGTACTCCGAGAAGGCAGACCCTTTTGAAGAGTTTGCAGAAGGAGAAAAGGAAGTGGTTACAGCCATTTCAGCAAAGCCAATTCCACTTTGGATCCTTGGCACCCCTTACGCAGCTGGAGATCGAGCAGAGCAAGAAAGTCATGGTCGTGACTACTGGAAAGTGGACCTCGAGAAGGGAGAAGTTGTTCGTCACCACGTAGTACCGAGAACTGTGCTGTTTGACCCGACAGGAGTTGCCAACTGTCCTGTCCTCCTTGGAGATCTTGAGAACAGCAGGTATACCCAAGGAGACTGCATCTACAGTACGGAGATCTACGAACACAGCGACGACTGGAGAGCAGACCGCCTACCTCTACGTGAACACTTTCGTTTGCCGTGGTTTGGTCAAACAAGGTTCCGTGTGAAGCCAGAAGTTGTTGAAGACCTAAAAGCAGAAGCTGCAGCAGAGGAGCTAAAGAAGAAGAAAGAAGAGCACTACCAAAAGAAGGAAAACTCAGCAGCACCACCAGCAGCAGAAGAGAGCAAAGATGAGGAGATGAGAGAAGCACAAGCAGACCAAGAAGCACCACAAGAAGTTGTTGAAGTTTTGGAGGAAAGCTTCTACCACGAAGGCGTCGAGTACACAGCGCAGAAAAGCAGTCTTAAGGAACTACAAGCACTTTGCAGAGAGTACAGAGTGAAGACAACAGGAAGCAAGAAGCAGCTCTTGAAGAGACTCGCCACAGCAGTCAGAGAAGAAAGGCTCAGCACGCAACACAAGGAACAACGGGAACACCACCAAGCATACCACCTAGCACCACCACAGGAACCAACGGAAGAGGAGAGAGCGTACCACAACTTGACGCACCTTCCGTATCAGCCTTGGTGTCCCCATTGCGTTGCTATGAAAGCACGAGAAGACAACCACAAGAAAGGTTTGAGCAAGCCAAGCAGCTCTACGGATTCCGCGAAGCCCGTCATCAGTTTTGACTTTTGCTATACAAGCACCACAGGAAGTGAAGAGCCACCAGCAGTGACTCTTGTCGCTGTGGACAGCTGGAGCAAGGCAGTCTTGGCGGTGCCCTGCAAGAGGAAAGGAGGAGCAGGAAGCACAACGCACCTCGCGGAAGCACTCGTGCAGTTCACCACGCAGCTCGGGTACAACACCCTCGTTCTCAAAGCAGACAACGAGAACGCAGCCAAAGCACTCAAGGACAAAGTACAGAAAGTACGCAGCAGCCTTGGACTTTCTACAACACTACAGGAAAGCATTCCTTACGACCACGAAAGCAATGGAGCCGCAGAAAGAGCAATACAAACAGTACGGAGGCAAGCGAACACCATTCTCGATGAAGTCAGAGAAAGAACACAGCTGGCAATACCACACGAGCACGCAGTAGTAAGCTGGGCGTTTAGACACGCCTGCTGGCTACTCAACAGGTTCGCAGTGAGCAGCTCCACAGGAAGAACGCCACAGGAAGTTATCCACGGATACCCCTACTCAGGGAAACTTGTACCCTTTGGTACTGTTGTGATGGCGAAGAGGTTGAAGATCAAGAAGAAAGGTGACAGGATATGGAACGCAGGAATATTTTTAGGCAAGACAGAGCAAGACACATGGATCGTTGCACAGCCTGATGGCATACATATCACACGCAGCGTGAGACCACTACCAGAACAGTACGACTCCAAAAGAACAAGCAGCATAGAGGTCCATACCTGGAACCTCAACACACCACTCCTTGGAGCAAGAGTACTTCCAGAGAAGAAGCAAAGACAACGACCACAGCTAAGCATCCTGCCCCCTGTTGCCGAGGAAGAACGCGAACAGCTCGAGAACGACGAGGCCGCTAGCGACCCTCCGAGTTCGGAGGACAGCAGTGAAGAGCAGCAACAAGCACTTGAAGACAGAGAGGAACAAAGTGAAGCCAGCAGCATGAGTGTGACGAGAGACAGGAAAAGAAGAGCTGAAGTTGATGACGAGACCCTTGTGGAGGAACTCAGAGCAGTTGAGCCACTTACAGCCTCAGCAGAAGCACTTTCAGCACCAGCTGAACCAAGAGCAGAAGCAAGCAAGCACAGCCTTGAGCCTGAGGAACCAAGCTCACCCAGCAAGCTACGAAAGCAAGTTAACAGAGCAGAGGAAACAGACGGTTACCTCAACATGCCTCATGATGATGAAGTCTACGAAGCAGATGATGAGTTTGTGTACGAGTCGGAAGAAGAAGAAGAGGAGACAGAGAGTGAACCAACGGAAGTTTCTACCAAGGTCCCTGTCGAGTTCTTCGACGAGGAGAAAGGACCACCGAACGTGGATCCGGCTTTTCTTCAGAAGTTGGATGATGAAGCTACAGTCAAAGAAATCAAGAGGTTAACAAAGATGGGAGTTATTTCGTTGGTTTCTACGGACCCTCAGGAAGCAACTGAGAACGTACCTCTGGTAGATTCAGAGCAAGAACTTCACAAGTGGTTGACAACAAAGTTGGTGAAAGATTGGAGGTTCAGAGAAGCTACAGGTTTTGAAGCTGAAGAAGCCAAAGAAGGAACAACAAAGCCCAAGCAGATTCAAAGATGCTGGCAACGACGTGCCAGACTAGTAGCCAGAGAATACAAGACAGAAGGAAAAAGGGAAGATATATTTTCTCCTGCGACAAGCCCAGGAATTACAAAACTGGTGCCCATGTTGGCTCTCGCCAACCATTGGGCGATCTACAGTGTCGACGTGAAGGACGCGTTTTTACAAGTCCCTCAAAGAACACCTTGTTTGTGCCGAGTACCTGAAGAAGCAGCACACGTCGTACAAGCAATGCAGGAACAACAAGAACGCAACCCTGGAACTTGGTGTTGGAAGTTAGGAAGAGTTTTGCCAGGTCAACGCGACGCATCCAGTCTTTGGTCAGACTTTTGTGATGGTCTTTTGGTGGAAGAGAAGTTTGAGCGTTGTACAGCAGTTCCAGCACTTTACCGTCTTCTACGACAAGGAAAAGTGGTTGCAGTTTGCATTGTGCATGTAGATGACTTGCAGTTTGCAGGAAAGAAGGAAGTCATCGAACCAATCCTCAGGAACCTCAAGAAGAAAGTGAACCTACAAGTTGAAGGACCTCTTCTGAACGAGGAAGACTACGAGAAAGGATTTTCTGAGGAGACCGTGAAGTTTCTCAAAAGGAAGTACACGTACGAACAACATGAACTACGAGTACATAGCGATAGCAAGTACGTGAAGAAACTCGTGGAGATCCTCAAGCTGGAGAAGAAGAAAGCCAAGAACTCACCCTGCACACCGGCTAGTCAGGAACCTGACGTATCCCAAGAACTGGACGAGGAACACTCGAGAACGTACAGAAGTTGTGTCGGCATTTTGCTGTACGTAGCGCACGACCGTCCGGACATTCAGTTCGCAGTACGTAGCCTCAGTACTGCCATGACGAAGCCAACGGAACGCAAAAGAAAGGAGTTGGAGCACTTGGCGCTCTACCTCAAAGGAACGTCAGACTACGCCGTTACGTACCACAGGAACAGCCCAGGAACGTCAGCTCTACGTCACCGCGCCGAAGAACCACAAGAACTACAAGAACCTCGAGAACAACCACGCGAACGTTTGCTGGAAGTTTTTAGCGACTCCGACTGGGCCGGAGACAAGCAGACTAGGAAGTCAGTGATTTGCGCCATGTTCTACCTGGACGGTGCATATTTCTACAGCTACAGCAGGACACAGAAGTCGATAGCATTATCTTCAGCAGAAGCAGAATACATGGCACTTACTGGAGCAGCAAGCGAAGGAATAGGTCGAATAGGTTTACACGCAGCAGTTCGTTTCCTTACAGGAGAACGAGTACTACTCAAAGCATACACAGACAGTTCCGCATGCCGCGGAATCACAAACCGCCAAGGAACAGGAAGAGTCAAGCACTTGCAGATTCGGTTACTTTGGCTACAAGCAGCAATACGCGAAGGCAAGCTTACTGTACACGCAGTCGGTACAAAGGAGAACACAGCAGACCTAGGAACAAAGCCTCTCAGCACGAAAAGAGTGAAGTTTCTCCTGAACATGATCGGCATGTGCAACAGCGAAGGAAGAGTTGGAGAGCAAGAGCGAGAGGAAGAAGAAAAGGCACAAGTGGTGAGAAGACTCGAGAAGATCATGAAGAACAAAAGCAGCATGTTGTTTGCACTTTCGAGTTTGTTTGGAAAGACTGAGGCAGCCTACGTACCTTTCGCCGCAGCTCAAGAAGTAGCAAGCCCACAAGAAGTCCCAAGCAGTCCTGGAAGCATGTCGCTTCTGGAAGTCCTGGTGACTCTCGCCATGGTGTGCATGGCGGCATGGTTTGTCGTGAACGAGATGAGAAAGCCACAGCAGCACAAGAAGCCGAAGAGAGACGAGAGGAGCAGCGGTGAAGAAGAGGAAAGCAGCTCAGGAAGCAGAAGTGGAGAGAAGGAAAAGAAGAAGAAGAACCGAAGGAAGAAAAGAGACGAAGCTCCTGCCGCTCAGGTGAACTACGACGTGGACTCCTTCGACGAGGCAAAGAAAGAAGTGACAGAGAGAGCAGAGAAGTTGAAGAAAGTTGAGGAAAGCCTGGAGAAGGAAAAGGAGCAGTTCGGAAACCAAAAGACAGAGTTTGAGGAGACAGTGAAAAGGTTTTTGAAGAAGCAGAAGGAGGTGAAGGAAAAGGAAGACAAAGTTACAGAAAGAGAAGAGAAGTTAGAGAAAGACCAAGAGACCCTCCAAGAACAAGCCAAGGTCTTAAGCGAGAAGGAGACAGCCCTCGAAGAAGCTGAGGAGAACGTCAAAGCAAAGGAAGCAGAGGTTGAAAAGAAGAAGAAAGAGGCAGAGAAGAGAGAGAGAAAAGCCCAGGAAAGAACCGCCGGCTACGACCAGGAGAGAGAAGAGTACGCCAAGAAGTACGTTGACGACGCAAAGAAGGACTTGGAGAGAGAGCCTAAAGTGCTAAAGCAAGAAGAGAAAGTAAGGAACCAGAAGCTCGACGACCTCCAGTACGACTACAAGAGCCTCAAGGACGACTACCAGTACTTCAAAGGTTACTCACAGGAAGTGGACGCACTTCTACTTGCAGCTAAGGACAAGATCGTGAAGTACAAGAAGAAGGTCAAGAGCCTCAAGGAAACCTTAGGTGCAACCTTGTCTGGAAGCGAAGGTGAAGAAGAGACAGAAGAAGCGTACAAGAGCAAAGCAGAAGAAGAGAAAGAGAAGAAAGAAGCGCAGGCAAAAGAGGAAGAGAAGAAGAAAGGAAAAAGGCCAAAGCAGGTAGAGACAGAAGACCAAGAAGAGAAGCCGTCAAGCAACCAAGGAGACGAAACTACCGTCGACCCGAACGACATAGCCGAGTTCACGCAGCTTGGCTACGTGTGGGAGTTCAACAAGAAGACGCAAGAGTACCGCGCGAAGTGTGAGGACAAGAAAGGAGCCCCAAGAATCAAGAACGCTCCGGTGAAAGGCCGCCTCCTTTGGAACAAGGTAACGGAGTGCTACAGGAAACACAACATTTGGTTTACAGACGGAAAGGAATTGGATAAATTCCTCGAGACCAAGGAGAACGAGAAGATCGAGGAAGAGGTGCAGCGACGCATCCACGCGAAAGGCAAGCACGACAACCAAGGAACGAAGGGAAAAGGCCCTTCCTGGGACGATGGACAGAACGACGGTTGGTGGTACAACGAGCAGTGGAACAACGAGAACTGGAACACCACCGACGACGGCAGCAACTGGTACGAGAACGCGAACCCGCACAACAAAGGCTACTGGCAGACGCCTGAAGAGTGGGCGCAGCAGAACCAGTGGGACCAGTGGACACCCAAAGGAAAGGGTAAAGGCAAGAAGTCCAAGAACTGGGTACAGACCCAGTGAAAGGATCCCGAGAAGGGATGATCGAGCAGGTCAAGCAGTGAACGCTTGTACATATGTACATAGCTAAGCAACGTAAGACTTGATGTATACTAGCACAAGAATTCATGTACAAAGTGTGAGCAAATGTATAGACGTAGCAAACTGGGGCAGTAAGCCTAGGTAAGCTACAACCTTCCAAAGTCTCACAAGAAGTTTCACAAAAGGCAGGCTAGGAAGGTACAAGGGCCAGAAGAGGCAAGAAGCCGGAGAAGCCAAGAACAAAGAGAAGAAGCCCGAAAGAAGAAAAGCCCGTAGGCTACGTAAGGGCAGAAGGAAACCGGGGTACGGGCCTCCCCGCAAAGAGTCCATAGGCTGGACCTAACTAGAACGTAGCTGTACATACAGAGTAGGTTTTTCAGGAAGGCCAATGTACAGACATAGAAGGCCTAAGTAGCAACAGGGCAGGAGTGCAGCTAGGTAAAAGACCAAGAACAACGGAGACGAAAGTCCCTAGCAAAAGCACTGTACAGAAAGCCCTAGCAGTTTCCAAGAACACCCTAGGAACCCGCAAGAACTTTGTGAGGCGGGGTGTTCGTTTGTAACTTAGTGCACGTAGTCCCAAGTAGAGTGTGTAGAGTAATCACGAGAACACATGAAACATGTGTGTGAACCGCGACACGGAGGCTTAAGCAAGTCAGCCCGCAAAGTGAGAAAAGTGTGTTTGCGAGTAGAGTGGGAAGGAAGGCTTGAGAAGCCTTTAGTTTCAACACCCTGCCGCCCAACCGCCTATCCCGGTCCCTCGCGTTCAGGGGGTACCAATGTCTTTCAGCCGCCGTCAGCACGACATGCGCCGCCAGGCCTGCCACACTGCCTGGACGCAAATTCTGAAAATCCTGGCCAAGGCTTCCTCTCTTTGGCAATCCTTGCAGCAAAGCTCCCAAGCCCAACAGCACATGCTTGCAGTGCTCAGGCCTTTCTCCCCAGGTACCTTGGAACGTTACTTCCGGGTTACCTTTAATTTTTTCGCCTTCCTGCATAGTTCCTGCATCCTGCCAGCTGCTCTGGCACTTCACGTCATCTTGGACTTCATCTCTGCGGCCCGCGCCTCAGCAAAGATGACCGTGCCTTCCTGCATTAAAGCCCTTCGCTGGCTCGCCAAGCATGCCCAATGGCAGGCTCTCGGCACCGCCCTTTGCAGCCCAGTCATCACCGCCTACACTTTCTCCAGCTCAGCCAGGGATCGGAAAGAGGCATTACCGATACCTCTGTCGCTGGTCGTCAGTTGGGAGCGTCGCGTCTGCGACAGCCAGGCACCGCTTACTACGCGCCTCATCCTGGGGGCAGCGCTCCTCGCACTACACTGCAGCTTGCGCTTTGCTGACTTGCAACGCATAGACCTCTCCAGCTTATCGCTCACATGCCAGGCCCTGCACGGCACCTGCTACGCCACAAAGACTACCTCACAAGGTCAGCCTTGGGCCTGCCGCCTAGGGGGACTCTCTGGGCGCGATGTCGGCACTGCCTGGGTGCTGCATTGGCTCGACGCCATACTTCAGGCCACGCATCGCTTTTATGACTCCTTTGCGCAAATCGACTTCCTTTGGTTCCATACTGCACCCAGTCGCCTCTGCCTTGCCCAGCTGGCGCCAGCCAGCTACTGCACAGCCCTGCTCTCCCTGCGGTGGGCCTGCACCTGCAACTGGCCTTCCGGTGCTGGGCTGCTCCCGTCGGAGGCCAGGTCCCTCACCTTGCATAGCCTCAAATCCACACTTTTAGCGGCTGCGGCACAACGCCGTGCCCCCAAAGACTCCCGCCTCGCACAAGGCCACCACCGCGACAGCGCTGCGCTCTACTCCCGCAACGACACTTTTTCCAGCCTTGATGTGCAGGAAGACCTCGCCACTGCAGTCAGCACCGGCTGGCGCCCGCAACGCAGCATTGCCCGTGGCGGCCAAGCTCCTGTTCCTGAACCTCCTTTCAGCATCGCTCCGGGCCCCGTGCTTCATTCGGTCCGGCCCGAGGACATCCTTAACGGCCCCTGGTCTCGCTTCGCCACTCGGCATGAACACCTGCACGCAATGCAAGCGCCTTCTTCACCTGCCCCAGCAAATACTTCCAGCCCAGACGCCTTGCAACAACATCTTGACTCTTTGCTGGACGATCCAATTGAGCATTTTTCAGGGGATAATCCTATCTCCGGTTTCTCGGACGACGAAGAAGCCATGCTGGTGGAACGCGCTGCCCGCAATGCCCCGCCCAGCCCCGACTCCGCCAGCGCATCAGAGATGGACTCAGACGACGCCGCTGCAATCCCGCCTCCTTTGCCTCTCTGCACAGATAATGCTCTGTTCGCGTGCAATGGCCCGTGGGCTTGCTGGCACAGCCTCCTCAACAATGACACCGGAGACGGCACACTGCGGCCGGCCTGCGGCACCCGTTTGGGTTTGGGGTCTCTTACCAGTGCAGCCCCTCAGGGCCCTTTCTGCAGACGCAAAGCATGCGTCGCCCTGCGACTCGCAGCCTCGCACACCTGACCTTTGCCGCCTGCTGCCAAAAGCGCCTGCGCTTTCGCTCTTTGCCCCGACCCTTCTCACCGGCTCCCCCCCTTTTTTCCGGGCTGCCTTTTCCTTTTGCCCCCCTGTCAGGTACTGGCTGCTCGTCGACATCGTGCTGTTCCAGGCCTACGCGGCTCGCTGCCTGCCTTGCCTCTTTCTCTGCACTTCTGCTTAGCTCGCAGCTATGTTCTCTGCACTTTCTAGTCTTTTGGCTCGAATCTACTTCATCATCTTCAGCACATCCTGTTCCCCGATGGCAGCGGATCTCTCTTTCGACGATGCACCGCATGTGCCGGCAAGCGCTCTTGCCCAACTGCTTCAATCATGCCAAGTTCCGGACTCGCTGTCCACAGCCCTGCACAGCACCGGCATTGAATCCGTGTCGGACTTCGCATATGCCTTCTCAGAAACAGCCGATCTGGATCATTTCTGCGGCGACGACTTTGCGCATATCTGGCTGGAGCTAGATGCACCTGTTCCCCGCATCTCCCCTGCCATGGCTCGCCTCCGCAAGGCTCTGCAGCAGGCTAAAGCCCCGTCAGCACCAACGCCGCCCCAACCGCAACCAGCACAGCAAGCCTTTGCACCCGTCGCTCCTAGCCCCGCAAATTCCTGGGCAGAACACGCCCCGCCCCGCCTTGATCAATCTGCCGTGCAACGCCTGGTGCAAGCCTTTAAGGACGCCTTTCCCGGCGAACACCTCGACAGCGACGCTATGCCAAGCATCCGTCTGCTCAGCCTTGTCCATCGGTGGTTTCAACCGGGACACACTATCACCTGGATCCCATGGCAGCTCCGCTTGTCTGCAAAGCAGTATGACGAAATCATACAGAGCAAGGCCACCAAGCAAATCCGCACCGAAGCGCATCTCATCAGCACCGCATTTTTCGACGACACGCCCGAAATGGCTGTCGATCACCTTCGCCTCAGCTCCGCCTGGTTGCAACGCGTGCAAACGGTATTTCGCAACGCCATCGCAATATGCAACGGAGCGCACCTGCAGCGCTTGAAGGCGTTTGACAAAAAGGTTCTCGACCTCGCAACGCAAACCGTTGCTCCAGACTTGCATTTACGCACCGTTACCACGCAAGAGCTTCTCGTAGCCGATCGAAAGATCTGGCAAGAGATTGCCGCACTGCACAGCTCCGGGTGGTCCCTGGATGACGCCTTGCATGAAATCACTAGTGTCCGTTCGGACATTAGTTCCCTACTGCAACTTCGTGCCAAACCCATGCCACCCGCACCGCCCCTCCGCCCCACCAGGGAAGACCGCATCCGCGGTAAAGGCGGCAAAGAAAACGGCAAAGGTGTGCGACAGCCCGGCAAGCAGCCTCGCACTCCCGACTCAGGCAACCAGCAAACAGCACCGCTCGCCACCAAACTTGGCGACAAGACTCTTTGCATCCGCTTCAGCAAGGGCAATTGCACGAACAAGAACTGCAAGTTTGAACACAAGTGTGCGTTTAAACTGCCCTCCGGCCAGCCTTGCGGCAAAAATCATGCAGCTTGCAACCACAAAGTGGAAAAGCCCAGCCCGTCTTGAGACCCGCAGGAGATCGCATCCGGGAGCAATCTCTTGCCTGCAGCCCGGAACAAGCGCAGCCCTTCGCCTCTCTCGCTCTCCTGCGCATCCTGCTCAGCCTCCCCCTGCACCTCACCTAGTGTTTCTAGGTCCCGCAGCCCCCCTAAGGCCCAGGTTGCTAAGCCGCCCTGCCCTGCCTCGCCTGCCTTAGCTCACAAACCTGCCCAGCCTTCCCCACAGCATAGCAACCCGTCCGCCGGTGATGCCTCCGAGTCCGCTGACAGTGACTCCGGCGGCCTTGCTCCAACCTCGGCTGCCTCCACTTGCACTCCCCCAGCCCGCTATCTCCTTTTTTGGCCGCCGGACCTTTTCCAGGATGCCAAGCAAATCAATCAGTCCCTGCACAGATTCGCTTCTCCACCCGCATTGCAAACCTCAGAAGGTCATTGGCATCCTGACGTCCTAGCTTCCATGCAGGGAGCGGCTTGGTCTGGAACCCTCGCAGTGCTATGCATTCTTGGCGACACCAGTTCCTACTCAGCATCTTTCCACCGCAGTCTCTGTGCCCTGCATCGCGCCGCCCACCTTCAAGGTGCACATGTCATCTTTGCATTCCCTCAGCCTTCTACGGAAGATATTTTGACATGTACCTGCAACTTGCCCAAGAACTCGCAGCTACGTGCACATGGACGCGCTCGCCTCATCGCAGGCTCCTAGGGGTGAGCTGTTCCCTGCACAGCAAACTGCACTCAGACGGCATCCCGGACCTGAATTCCTTGGCTTCCCTCTGCACCACAGATGTGACGTCACAGTCGCCTTCTGCTCCACTGCCTCTGCACGCACTGCACAGCCTAGGAGCATCTACTTTCCACTGCAAACGCTCCCCTGTTTGCGATGGTGCGGGCAATGTCAGCTCCGCTGACCACATGCATTGCACCAATAAG